GGGGGTGGAGTGTGTTGTTTGTGTCGCTGTGTTGAGGTGGTGTTCTTTCAGGATGGGGATGTTTGGGGTGGTGGCAGTGGTAGTGGGTGGTAGTGGTGGTAGTGGTGGTAGTGGTGGTAGTGGTGGTAGTGGTGTAGTGGTGGTATGTGGTATGGTGGTAGTGGTGGTAGTGGTGGTAGTGGTGGTAGTGTGGTAGTGGTGGTAGTGGTGGTAGTGGTGGTAGTGGTGGTAGTGGTGGTAGTGGTGGTAGTGGTGGTAGTGGTGGTAGTGGTGGTAGTGGTGGTAGTGTGGTAGTGGTGGTAGTGGTGGTAGTGGTGGTAGTGGTGGTAGTGGTGGTAGTGTGGTAGTGTGGTAGTGGTGTGGTAGTGGTGGTAGTGGTAGTGTGTGGTAGTGGTAGTGGTAGTGTAGTGGTAGTGGTAGTGGTAGTGGTAGTGGTAGTGGTAGTGGTAGTGGTAGTGGTAGTGGTAGTGGTAGTGTAGTGGTAGGTAGTGGTAGTGGTAGTGGTAGTGGTAGTGGTAGTGTAGTGGTAGTGGTGTAGTGGTAGTGGTAGTGGTAGTGGTAGTGTAGTGGTAGTGGTAGTGGTAGTGGTAGTGGTGGTGGTGGTGGTGGTGGTAGTGGTAGTGGTGGTGTAGTGGTAGTGGTGGTAGTGGTGAATGGGGGAGTCTTGGGGAGACTTGGGGGGTGTTGTCACTCTAGACACTCTAAACCCTCACTAACGTCAACTCCAGTTAGCACTCTGGCTAGCAAGTGAACAGTTGAAACGGCCGAAGCGAGAAATAGAATAGGGGGGTGGAACCTACCAGTAGTGCTGGGCTGTTCCTACCGGAAAAACGACACGACAGTACTCCGTACACTACAGGAACTGGTAAGTTAGATATCCCAACAACAACAACAACAACAACAACGACAACAACAACAACAACAACAACAACAACAACAACAACAGGGAGAAACATTTTGTCTCGGAAATTGAACTTTTTTTGCGAGACCCAAGGCAAAGACATTTTGGTGTAGTTGTAGTTTAATTCCCCCATCAGTCAACCCAGCCCGTTATCCTATTTTTGTCTTGTCCTCTCCACCATCCAGCCTCCTCTCCAACCAGCCTCCTCTCCATCCAGCCTCCTCTTCACTGCATTTTTCTGTGTCCATCTCTCATCTTTCACCCAAACAGTTCTACCGCACCATAACCCTCCTTATCCCCCCCTTCTCCACTCGAAACATTTTTTTAAGATTACACATCACGTGTTCCCCCAATGACCCTCTAGTTACGATTTATCTGAGCCGAGAACGCATAGGTCGGTATAAGACCCCATCATCCTCCCCCCCTACACCCTCCCCCCTAGGTCTACACCTCAACATCTCCCTCGCCACCCCCGTTCCCTCTCCTCAATCTCCGCCTCAATCTCCCTCAACCTCTCCGCCACATCCCTCAACCCCCTCTCTCCCTCCTCCTTCTCCCCTCTTCTCCTCTTCCACACTCCGCTTCGCCAAATCCAGGGCGCCTTCGAACCATTTCCCCAGTCGTGCGTGGGTCATGTAATTGCGTAAAGTGCTGTCCTCAGAAGAGAGGTCAGAGAGGAGGGGGGCGCGAACGCCGGAGTCGAGGGAGCTGTAGCGCGTGTCGAGGGTGGGGTGGTGGTGGAGAGGGAGGAGGGGGTGTAGATGCGGAGGCGGGAGGGGGTTTCGAAGAGGCCTGTTTCTTGTTAGCTTTTGCCCTTGTACTCTCATTACTGCACGCAAACTGCGGCGGGGGGAGGGGGAGAAGAAAAGGTAGAAAGGGGAAAAAACTCACGATCCCGAATACACCCCTTCAACGTCCTATACAGCGCCGTCCCTCCAACCTCCACCTAACCTCCTCATCACTCTTCGCATCCGTATCATTAATCGCCGCCCAATCATCCTCAACATACACCTCCTCCACACGCCCTGCTCCGCCAACTTCAACTCCTCCCCCTCCGTCGGTCCAGCAGCATTCAGCGCCAAAAGCGCATAATGGAACTCCTCCCCCCCCAACACCCCCCTCCCTCCCCCTACTATCCGGACCGAGGAGCGTCAACAGATCCACCACATCCAACGCCCCCATCGCCTTATGCTCAAGCAGCCAGCCTAGCTTCTCATGCAGCACCGTAGCCAACGCCGTTTTCCCGCGGAGAGAAGGGTTATCATAAACCTCGAGCGCAAGCTGTCGCTCAGCTGTATCATCAATCGCCCCCTTCACCGCACCGCGGACATGCTTATGCACAAGTCCCTGAATCCTAATAACCTCCAACTGCGCCTCCGTCTCCCTCATCTCCTCCCCCCCTCCGCGACCCTCAGTCCACTCGCCGCTTGCCCCGCCAATCTCGCCAGTTTCCCAATGCTGAGCTGCACTTTCTTGCTCCACAGGTCGCGTTCGCGGTGAGGCCGAGATCGAGGAGTTCGGCTGCGGCGCGGTGGTAGTCCTTCTCCTGCGTGACCTCGTTGATCCACGAGACCTTCGCGTACTCCTTTTTGCTGCGCAGGAAGGCGGTGAGGTATTTTTGGTGCGTGTCGTTGTCGCTGAGCAGCGCGAAGAGCTCGCCTTCTTTGATGTAGTACGAGTACAGCGACTTCGCCCACTCCATGCCGAAGAGGTCGTAGTAACCCTCTACCTGTGCTTGCAGGCGGGCGACGCGGGCTTTGAGATCCGTGGCGTCGCCGTCGGGTGCGGATTCCGTTTCGGCGATGGCTTCGTTGGTGCGTTGGATTTCCTCGACGATGAGGGGGACGAGGGTGTCGAAGACCCTGTGTTTTCTCCGCTAATTCGATGCCCTCATCCACGAGCCCAATCTCGGAGAGGTTGTAAATCTGCCCCTCCCGCACCTTGAGTACGCGTGCTGCATCTGCAAGCCCTGGCTGTGGCGCTTCTTGTCTCCTGGCCGAGGTACCAGCGGTACTTCTCCGTCGTGGAGCGGCAGGCGAGATCGAGCATCTCGGGGCACTCGGTACGGATCTTGTCGACGACGTCGGGGTCGGGTTGGTTTTCGCCGGCTGCGGGGGCCAGTATTGTCGCACTATTCCGATGGCGAGATCAGTCTGCCTCTTCGCGTTATCCGCCGTATAGAGCTTGCACGTCCACGGTTCCGGAATGTCGTTGTAGTTTTGCATAAGGATCCCGTTCTGGACATCTTCGCCCTGGAGCCCGTATAGAGCTAGGTTTTCGGTCCGGAAGTTGTAGGCGCCAGCCAAGGCCCCGATGAGGAGATCATTAGCCTCGCTGAGAAGCTCGACGATCTTGTGCTGGACGAGCTCGGACTCTTCGTACCTCAACTTTACAGCCTGGAAGGCCCAGGGAACAACCATCTCGAAGCGATGGATGTCGTGGATAAAGTAGTGGCGAACACGGTCTACCTCCCCAAATTCCTTTGACGGCATTAACTTGTACTCCTCGTGCAGGCACTCGACGATGTCGTTCCATAAGCTGCGCTTTTGGCCGGCGGGTTTGGAGCTGATGAGGGTATCGTAGTTGCTCCATGCACCCTTTGCACCGTTTAGTTTCTCCGCGTCCCATAGGAGCTTCCACTTCGTAAGACGGTCAAGCTCGACATTCATCTTCTTGATGTGCGTCGCGAGACTGTGCAGTGCCTGTGCCCGTACCCGTAGATTATGTTCAATCGACGCCGGGATAGAAGGAATATGCGCTGTCGTAGAACTCAAAACCTCGTGACTAAGCTGTAGGGCGGCCTGGCCAACTTCTTCGGGTGAGAATTGTATTTCTGGCCGTCCGGCGAAACTCAATGGGTTGTTCTCGAGAATGCCAAAGAATACCGCTTGGTCCAGCTTGCTCTTAGCCGTGACTTGTGGCGCCTCCCCTGCCGTAAACTTCTTCGGGTCTGTCGTGGCAATACGGATTATACCACCACCCTTCACCAGGAGAACGACAGCTGGGAATTTGGCCTTGTGGCGCCTCGAACGGCTGTCTTCTGTGCCATGGGAGGGTGTATGTGGCTCCTCCAGCCCAGAGCCGGTAATCTCCACACCGGCGTCGGTCCTGAAGTCTACGACATCCTCGAAATAATTGGTTCCCGCACGGAGTTGTTGATCTGGGGATTCTGGTTCATTGACCATTGATGTCACCACGACGGCGCGGTCAAAGACGACAAATGCTGCAACGCCTGGCTTTGGCAGATATAGTCTCGGCTTGGACGTGGATGTGCGGCTGACTGGAGTTGAATAAGAGCGGAGGTGGTGAACGTTGCTGACAATAATCTCCCTTTGACGAAGGAATACCTGCACAAGGGCGTAGTGGCAAATCCCATGCCCACCAAGAGACGTTAGCATGAGAAGCTCCGTGCCATTGTCGTCGCGGTATGTCAAAGCCGTTGAATCTTCCCTATCGCTGGCTTGTGGTGCGAATGAAAAGTCGAGGACTTCAAAGGACTCAAGGTCCAGGCTCTCAAGACTCTTGTCAGTGCGCTTCAACTCGTCCACAATCAACTCCCTGATATCGCCTTCTGCCTCGAGGGTATTGTGGCCGCCTCGGTGAAGACTCCAAGCTTGTAATCTGCCCTTCGAAGATGCGCTCACAATATCACGCTCTCCAGGCTTCAACGACGGACCAGCTCTAGCAGCTGCCAGGTCTCCACGCCAAGAGGAGCTGCTGAGGGCGTTCCTAATGCTTCCAAATATCCCTCCATTGCCTGCTCCGCTCGTGCCGCGCAAGAACTGGACAGATATCGCTGGTCTCCCCTGGCCGTCCCGTACGCTCATATACGCCAACCTTCCGCTGCTGAAAGATAGCAAAAAGCCAGCCGACTCGGCATTCAGGATCTGGATCACAACCTCCCCATGCAGCAGGCCCGAAATCGTTAGCTCGACGCCATGTCGCGGTTGCTGAATGAGGTCCAGGGTGGCTGCGCTCGCGATCGACTCCCAGTATGTGATCTTGCCGCTTGAGGGCATCACCACGACGAGGCCAGGTTCGGGAGTGCTTGCTGAGGCAGAGACTAAGGATCCGAGGGGGAGATGCTCAGATGTGTGTTTCGCTGGGTAGGGTAGGGCGAAGGTAAAGGTCTCTGGGGTCGTGGTGTTGAGAGCGTAGGGCCAGACAATGGCATGGGTGGTTGTGAGAGCGAGGGCATAGCCACTGTCGGAGTATATCGCGCCATACTGTCTACCTGTACATCGAAGGGTCAGTTCATCCTTTATTCAATCCCTAAGATATCCATACCTGTAGTCGTGGATTGTAGGCGATCTGGTAGAGCAGGAAGCCTGCTGACAGTGTAAACATCATTGCTTGTCTGTGACCCCGTTAGCATCCAACTCAGAGCTGTCAATCCAATTAAATCATTTACCAAAACCGTGCTTCCATCTCCCTTGCCAGTTCTTTCGGTAGTCTTGGGCTTCTTGCCTCTAACCGTGAGATCGCGTCTTATTGTTCCCTGAGGTTCTGCGATGCTCTCGTGCCGGGCGACCCCCGGTGCTGGCTTCTTCGCCTTGACCTCCTGCATCTCAGGGGCAGCATCGGGGACAACAAAGGTATTCTCATGTAAGCTGCTGCGTTGCCGTTTGGCTTTGGGTTGTAGCGCAATATTCTCTGAAGATGTTGGGCGCGGCCTGCGCCTGGCGTTGCGAGTATTCGCAGCTGGAGTGCTGTTGGTCGTCGCTGGTGAAAACATGACAAGTTTGGCCCTTTTTGAGGGTCTTGAAGTTGTTCGACTAGTGCTATTGATAGCTAGAGGATGAGGGGATTAGAGATTTCGCATTGTTTGTGTCGAGATGTCGGTGGTTGGTTCTGGTGTTTACATTGGTTTACATTGGTTTGTGTCTGGAGCTCACAACGGAGTAATATTTCTCGTAGCCAAGCGAAACAACGCAACAAAAGTATCATCTACAACAGGCATAGCCCAATGATCCTGAACATAATAAATCGTTATCGGATATATAATTACTCTGCCATAATCAATACGATAGTATATTCTGAAATTGTTTATTTGGCATCAATTCGGATTCATTCTCCTCTTCAGTTCTGCCTCTCCATCGCTTGTTTCCCCAAATCGTCGTCATCGTGTTACAGACCAGACAAACACACAAAACGGAGCCTCAACAACGACGCATGGACCCTCTCATAACAAAATCATACTGGACGACCTAACACTAACCCTTTTTAGCGCCAGGCACAACCTCTTGATATATGTAATTTCCGACTACAAACAATTATTTAAATATGATGAACGGAATTAATGAACCTAAATAGTTAAAAGACAGTAAAGCCCACATCCACATCAGCGTTCCAAGTACCATATTCGTGCCGTGGGATTATTAATGTCCATGGAGAGCCAGAATTATATAGACACTTCTAAGTAGATTAAACATGCAATACAATGGGAGTTGAAGTTTGAAGATATGCGGTAGTGACACCAAGAAAGATAATATTTATTTATTCCTTTTGGTTGGAAACATATACCATTAGCTTCCGAAGCAACGCTATCTATCGCATCCAGCAATCCAACTATTTGCCTACTGTAGCCCTTTGTTTTTGGAGTTGAGACTCGTAGCCATAAATACAGTTCGCAGACATGACCCATCATATACCCCTATATACCTCCCACACAGATACCCCCCCAAACGCCTTCGCCAAAACTTTCATCAAATCAACAAACCACGCCAGACAGACTCTAGTGTGGATCTAAGACTCCAGCCAGTCTAAGAAGCGTGGAGTGAAGTACGACACAACAATCGTAGCACCAGCCCTCAAAATGCCCTCCGTAGACTCAAAAGCCATAGCCTTCAAATCAAAGACACCTGCCTTGGCAGCTGCATGGATCATGGCGTATTCGCCGCTGACCTGATACGCCGCGACTGGCATATCCTTCCCGATCTCCTTAGCATCGCTGATGATATCAAGGTACTGTCCAGCAGGCTTGACCATAATAATGTCCGCCCCCTCAGCAATATCTCTGTGCATCGCGCGGCGCGCCAACCCACGTCCTCCGTGGGGGAGTTGGTAGCACTTCCTGTCTCCGAACGACGGGACGGATCCAGCTGCGTCGCGGAAGGGTCCGTATAAGCAGCCGGAGAACTTGGCAGCGTAGGACATCAAGACGACTCTGTGGGCGATACCCTCTTCGATGAGCTTGAGCTTGATAGCGCGGATACGGCCATCGTTCATGTCTGACGGAGCGACGCAGTGGGCGCCGGCCTGGGCATATGCGACAGCGACATCGGAGATACGATCAACGGACAACTGATTGTTCAAGCTGCCGTCATCGCGGAGGATGCCGCAGTGACCGTGGGATGTGTATTCGCACAGGCAGACGTCGACGGTGATAAAGAGTTGGGGGAAGCGCTGGCGGAGAAGACGGATGGCGGCCATGACGGGGCCTTTTGGGTCGTCGGCGGAGGTGCCGAGGGCGTCTTTGGAGCCGGGGGCGAGGGGGACGCCGAAGAGGATCACGGATTTGAGGCCCTTGCGGATGAGGGGTTCGAGGTGGGGGACGAGTTTGTTGATGCCGCGGCGGTGTTGGTCGGGGAGGGAGGGGATGATGGATTCTTCGTCGTCCTGGTCAGATACGAAGAGGGGGTATATGAGCATTGACTGGAGGGGGGTGTTGTTAGCAATTGAAGTCAGCATTGGGTGAGTGAATGGTCGTGTGCGAACCTTTGTCAATTGTCTCTCGGCTTGCCACGAGCGGGCAAGGGGGTGAGAGTATCCGCCGTGCAATTGACTCGAGATGTCTCCGGAGATGCTGACGCTGGTTGCGCAGGTGCTGGCGTATGACATCGCCCTGGAGACGTGCGATCTCCGATCATCAATGGTAGAAGAGGTTGAGAGGGGACCGCGGGCAGGGCGTCTATCATCATTGGCGTCCCTGAACGACAGATCTTGAACGAGGCTGGAGAACGACATGGTGATAGTGCGAATTCGACGAGCGAGTGCAACAGTGAAGGTATCAGGAAAGAACTTTGCAAAGACTCCGGAAAGCGTGGGGTTTAGAAAGAAGTCAGCGAACATGCATGGGGTGATGGCGAAAAAATGTCGTCGGTGACAGCCGCACTCATGGGGGTTACAGACGGACGGCGAGTGCGGCATGAAGTTGCCGGGCTGGCACGCTTGTTTTGGAATTCACCACATTTTAATTGGCCGAGGTTTCCGAAAGTCCAAACATTTTTCATACCGTAATCGTCAGATCCGCCTGGTCGCTTCGCTCCCAGTCGGAATAAGCAAGTTGGGACAGTATTACTATATTTAAAGTGGTCGCTAAACCTACCACTTTAAATATAGTAATACTGTATAACGTAAGTCGTGGCGTAACGGTGGCATGGCGTAACGCGGTGGAATTTCGAAGAGAACATAACAAATCTATAAATTTAACTACAATCAACGATAATACATGATCCACCGTCGCTCTCTGATTGTTCCCCTGCTTCTTCCTCAATATACTCGTCAATTTAAATGTCTGAGGAGGCGTGCTTATCCTTTGTTTTGCGCTTTTTCTTACTTGGGTTATGTGTCGCCTTTTCCGCCTACACAATTCTTGCGTAGAAACATGAAAGTGGCCCTTCAGAATAACCCTTTTCCCCTCCATACGTACCGTACCGTACGTCGCTTTATAACTGATCGCAGGTTGTTGGCATAGAGTTGGTGGACAATGCTAGGTGCTAGAAGTTGCTCTGACGCAACTGTGAGTTTTTGGATGTACGTCCGCACCGGTGTTGACAGCACCCCACCACCATTAATCGTCGTTGTAAGGAGCGCATTTGCAGAGCATAAGGTCATCCCATCTGGGGTGGAGCTGTTGATAAAGACTCGGGTCAAAAATATCATACTGATGTGGTGTTTTTGGTCGAGCAGCGTACGCAATGCTCGCTGGGGATTAAAAGGAAGCAAGCCAGCGCCACAGTATGCTGACTCAATGTTCTGATGGTTTCATATATCAAGCCGTGCCTGGATGTATGCCTCCATCCATTCATACTTCTGTATGCACGCAAGTTGCGCTTGGTTGAGTTGTAATGGTGGGTGCACCAGATGTGAGAATCTAGCCACCCAAGGAAGGGATGAATTTACTAAGACAACACACTGTCTTAGGTAACAGAGCCAAAGGGTTGTAGCTTAGACTATTCCACAACGTAGCAATCAGGTGTGTGATGTAGTGAAGTGGTTCAGACAAGTTGCAACAAATGTTGAGTCTGGGAACTCAGGGGTAAGTCAGAGGTTAACACCTCACTGACTTTTCAGAAACAAGGAGTAACAAGATGAATGCTTGGAAGCTTGGAAAAGACGTGGAAGTATGTGATAGTCGATTTACTGTATTGTCTGCTTGCCCTTTCTTAAGGAAAGGGCAATCCTATTTATGCTAAAGGAGTGTAGTTCTCTCATTTTCCAAGACTTTCCATGACTTACCAGGCTTGGTAACTGTAGTCGATGTAAGAGAATCCCATAGAACCATCTATTAGGTTCGTAGCCTATAGGAAGTAAAAGGAGGTCCAAGGTCAGAGTACCCCTATAGACAAATTATGTCATAGACAAATTATGTCATAACTTAACCAATCTTGTGGGTAACTAAAGAGCGATGACATGTAATGAATCATAGAGGTTCGTAGGAGCTTTTAGAGCTATCGTTCATGCTCCTAGGCCTCTAGTTGGTAGAGATATGTCATGTGGTAGTATGAGTGATGTCATGTAATGAATCATAGAGGGTTGTAGAGATATGCTATGTGGTAATATCGGCCCAGTAACTAAGGAGCAATGACGTGTAATGAATCATAGATGGTTGTAGCAATCGTTGAGTAGTATTGCTCTTGTTGTTGGTGTGATAAGCCAAAATATGTATAGTGACTTGTAGGTTTGTGTCATACTGACATTCGTTGCACTCAGTTTGCTATCAAACTCAAGAGCAAACTTGGAAATCTCCTCCTCAAACCTACAAGTCACTATACATATTTTGGCTTATCACACCAACAACAAGAGCAATACTACTCAACGATTGCTACAACCATCTATGATTCATTACACGTCATTGCTCCTTAGTTACTGGGCCGATATGACCACATAGCATATCTCTACAACCCTCTATGATTCATTACATGCCATCACTCCTTAGTTACTGGGCTAATACTACACATGACATACCTCTATCAACTAGAGGCCTAGGAACATGAACGATAGCTCCAAAAGCTTCTACAACCCTCTATGATTCATTACACGTCATCGCTCCTTAGTTACCCACAATATTGGTTAAGTTATGACATAATTTGTCTATAGGGGTACTCTGACCTTAGACCTCCTTTCACTTCCTATAGGCTAGGAACCTAGGAGATGGTTCTATGGGATTCTGGTTAGTCATGGAAAGTCTTGGAAAATGAGAGAACTACACTCCTTTAGCATAAATAGGATTGCCCTTTCCTTAAGAAAGGGCAAGCAGACAATACAGTAAATCGACTATCACATACTTCCACGTCTTTTCCAAGCTTCCAAGCATTCATCTTGTTACTCCTTGTTTCTGAAAAGTCAGTGAGGTGTTAACCTCTGACTTACCCCTGAGTTCCCAGACTCAACATTTGTTGCAACTTGTCTGAACCACTTCACTACATCACACACCTGATTGCTACGTTGTGGAATAGTCTAAGCTACAACCCTTTGGCTCTGTTACCTAAGACAGTGTGTTGTCTTAGTAAATTCATCCCTTCCTTGGGTGGCTAGATTCTCACATCTGGTGCACCCACCATTACAGTATGCCAGTAATGTTCACTGCCGTCGGAGAAGACCCGCTACCCCTCACGCCTGACAACCATTATTCAAACCCACAAATTCCAGACCCATGCGTGGAAGTGTCATGGGAGCCAATGACGTTCCC